TTTCTAGGACTGGGGTAGAAGCTAAAAGGAAATCTGCAGTTTTAGAAAACTCGCTACATGATTCTTTGAAAAAAATTATATTAAAAAGACTAACACACGCCAGATAAGATTGATGCCCTCCTCTTTTTTTCTGATGGATTCTATGTTTACAATGGAGCTTTGCAACTATGGCAGGGTCAAATGCTGGCTACTTGAACATCACAATAGCGTGTGTGTGTGTGTGTGTGTGTGTTTTTACACACCAAAATTTAAAAATAGTCTCATTATAGGAAGTGCTGCTTATTTGGGGGAGGGGAAGTGCTTCAGAATCATGGTTTAGGGCTGCCACGAATCAAAGATGACAGAGGACTCCAGAGCAAGGCTTCTCAGATTGGGGTCAGGAAACTTGCCTCAGAGTCCTATTTCTCTTGCACCAGATCTGACTTTTCTTTGGTGCTGCTACCATTTGTAACCATCCTTCAAAACAGAGAGTGCACCACAGGCCCTGCTGCAATTGAGCTGATTTGCACACCATCAAGTGGCAATATGTGCCCCTGGTGAGAAAATTAATAGGATGAAAGCAGCTATCAAACATGCTGCAGCAGATAGGATTCCTGCTGCCTAGCTGCACATGGTCATCACTAATGTGACTCCTCCTCATCGTACTAGCGGAAAGTGAGTATTATTTCATATTTTAAAATTCTAGACAGAAACCATTAGCAATTTATTTTTCCCAAAGAACTGGCTAATTAAAATTGTAAATAAGGCTGTGTTATGTTTGCATGTACTCCTGTGACTCTTTCATAAAGAACTAGAACTGGATGGCTAAATGATTGTTCTGTTGCGTATTACAACCCGACCCTATTCCATCTGCCCACAGTCCCATTAGAGAAGGCCACACTCGGGAGAAGAAGCTGTGGTAAGGGCTTCCACAACAGAAGGCATAATTAAACAAGAGGGAGGCTCCAGGGAACGCAAGAAACCTGGCTTTCTGAGGCACTATAAGAAGCCAGGGAACATTTTCCTATTTCCTACCGGGCTTAGTAGGTGGATTATTATTATCACTTATTTTTTAAAGATCAAAAGACTAGGATTCCCCTGTGGGAACTGCAAAAAAAAAAATATGTTAGACAAAAAGCCAAAAATTAACCAATTTTAACCTTTTTCTTTTAGAGTTCCTCACATACCTTAGTCAGTAGGGTGTCCCTCCCACACTCTTGCCATATTAATAACTGATAGCCTTTATCGGTACCAATTCAGAATAAAATTTAGGAAATTTCTGATTTTTCCTCCATGATTTAATGATATGTAATTATTTCTCAGTAATGGTCACCTTAACTGGAGTTGCGTCTTTAATTAACCAATATATAATACTAGACATATGAAAACAAATCTTAGAAAACATAAATTGTAAATTGATCATTTTAATTTACAAAACAATATACCCAGGGCTTCTTTAAATTCTAAGTTCTTTGGTAGATTATATAGTTAATTCACAGATCATCAATTACTATCAATGAATGAACAATGAGCAAATTGGTACTTATTATTGATTGAAAAAGACACCTCCCCTCACTTAAATTGAGCCTCTTTTGTTATACTCTACTATAGCGGCCCTTACTCTTCCAACATAAAACTTATGGTTTTAATTATGTTTTATATTAGATTATATATTTCACATCTGTCTCCCCACTGGAATCTCCATGGAACAGACCGTCTCTGTTTGTTCACTACTATATGCCCCACATCCAGCACAATGTCTGATCCTTAATTATTTGTGGGACATGCGAATAAAGTCATTAGGTTCTTGGGATTTTAAATTGGGGAGGCTGATTGACAGGCTTTAGGATTCCCTTGAAGTCCCTGAAATTATCTAAAAAACATTGTTCATTTCTCTGGGGAGAAGACCCACCACCTTCATTAGATTTTAAAGGGGTCTGTGACCTCCCCAAAAGGTAAGAAATCACTGGCCTTCTTCAGTTATAAAACAGGATTCAATACCAAAGAACTCACATGTGGCCTAAAACAAAGTATGCTACCTGCACGTACCTTTACGGGGAAGGATGTGTGGCTGTGTGTATAGTGTGTGCATAACTTCTAAGAACAGAAACAGAAGTGCCTCTGTGAATTTACGGACCAATCCACATTCTCACGTCCCCGTGTGACTAACTGGTCATTCCTGTAGCCACTGGGCTCCAGCAGTAGCTGTTTGTATTCATCTGCTTCTTGGCAGCAACATCCATCACTCAGGCCAGAGAAAAGGAGTCTGTAATTCCCTCCTTTCACCTGTTTGGGAAGCTGACATCCCTCTTTGTGGGAGTTCTTTTTAATAACAAACCTGTAACAACAGCACGGGCTGTGTTTATAAAGCACAGGTGCCCAGGCAATTTGACCAAACAACCCTGGGACTTCCCTTCCCTTGCCCTGCAGCCAGCGAGGAGACCCAGCCCAATCAGGCAACGGCCTCCCAGTGCTGCGTTCTTCAGGGGGTGGGAGACTTTGAGACGGGCTGGAATAGGCTAATTGGCTGATGTATATTAAACCTCTTCTTCCTTCTCTCCCAACTCCAAAAGATGTTTCCCTTCAGTAAATTTTCTCCCTCATTTTTGTACTGAATATGGAGACTTCAAAAGTGAATTCGTCTGAGGAAAGGTTTTTGATGTGCCACTAGCTCTCAGCTATCCACATTAACAGAGATGAGCCGTGGTACAGATCATTCAAAACCAAAGGCTCTTCTATTTAGCTTTGTAGTTCACTGTTGTGAGGGGCTCCGTGGCAGACTTACCTCCCTAATTATGTCTGTCTTTGCTTCTTATTAAAATGAGTGTGTCTGCTTTAGGGCCAGGCAGATGGGTGACACAAAGATTCTGGCACAGAATCCGTAAAATTCACCAGGGGAAATCCACCAGGCGCACAGATAATCAGGCTTGACTAGATTTGAGTTCACGTCCTTAATCACCTGTGATCAATTGCTTTGCTCCTCTGTGACTCAAGTGAGCCAGGGATGAGATATAATTATAGGAGTCTAGTTCGAAGGCAATGAGTCTTTACATTTACGCTGAAGACACAAGACTGCTGTGGCCAAACCTGATAAAAAAAATCAATGTTGATGTTTTTCCCTGCCTAGATTCACAGCCTCCTATTCTGCAGTCTGAGTTATCTTTCTAAGCAAATCTCATGATGTTCATCTCTACCTTACATCCTGCAGTGGCTCCCTGTGCTGGGCATTAGGGATATTTCCAAATGTCTGACTCTCTCCTCCCCAACACGTGACATGACTATACATTTCCACCCACAAAGTGAGATGTGGCTGTGAGACTGGAGTTGGCTATGGAAATACGGGTGGAAGTGGAATGCCACTTTGAGGTGAATGGTTGCAGAGCCAGTGTGGGCTTGGCTATTTTGTCTGGTGAGACCGACTGGCAGTGTCTAAGACGGTGGCTGCTCCATCCGCCTGGGTTGCTGAGTGACTGTGATGAGCAGAGCTCTAGTTAGCCAGTGATGAGCATGTGGCAGGAGCAAGAAATCAACCCCTGTTGTCTTCAACCACTGAGATTTTAAGGTTTTTCACGTTAACTCAGCATATCATCACGGCACATGCCAAGCTGCGGCATGACTGGCTGAGTTATCTCCCCAGCTAGACACTGAACAACCGGAGGCCAGAACTATTTCTTCTTCAGGACATTACGTCCAGTGTGGAGCATGTTTAATGCAACCTGGTAGAAAATGAAATTCTCTGCCTTCCTGGCCTCCGTGATCCTCTATGTTTATGTTTCTCTAACGCTTGCTCCCCTGTCAGCATCCCCAGCTGAAATGATAAGGTGCCCTTGGTGTTCAGATATATGAATGCGGGACCTATTCTTACGGATCAGTAGTACAAGTAGGAAGAGCTGGCAAGGGGGAGAGAGAGGCACAGTTAGGTTGCAGGTATTTCAAATATAATACATGGGCTCAAGGGGCAGACAAGATTTTGAAATGAAGTTTCTTGGAGTGACCACATGGGGAAAATAATATCCTAAAGTACTTGTTTTATGAGGCATCACAGGTGTTATCTGAACTAGACTCCTATATCATCACCATCATCTTCATCATCATCATAATCGTCATACCTATAATTGCTGATAACTTACTATGTACCAGTCACAGCTCCAACCACCTCACAATAAACTCACTGAATCCTTACAATTCTATAAGGTAGCTATTATTTCCATTTTACAGACGAAGAAATTGAAGCACAGAGAGATAAATTCCCTATGGCCACACAGCTAGGTAATATCCCTCTCCAAATTCAGGGTATGCTTGAACACCCCCCATGATGGGGAGCTCACTAACTCCCAATGCATTCCCACCCCCGACCCTGAGTCCTGTCCTGCCTCCTCCCAACTGCCATGTCCCAGACCCTGTGCCTCCAAGACCAACACAAAGCAATTCTACCCTCTCTTTCCAAGGAGGTCCTTCGCATATCTAAGGCAGTAATTGCATGTCCCTTTAAGCTCCTCTTCTCTGGTCTAAACAGCCCCAATTCACTCAACCATTTCAATGTGCCACAGCCGAGGTCCTTCACCATCCCAGCTCAGAGACTCACACATGCTAGTAGGTTGCATCACAGAATGGTGACTCTCCCTTCTAGTCTTGCACTAAGCCGATGCCTTCTACAACCCTAGCACATTTCTTTCACCTTGTAGAGCAAGGTTGGAGGCAGAAATGGGGCCATAATCTACTACAGAATAGCTGGCTGACCACATGTCCCTATCCTGGCAAACAGGATGCTACAGGATCCGTACATTCAGAGTTCCTCGTCCTTTTTTTTATTGTCTAAAGTTTTACATATGTCTACTTTTCCCCTAATTGACCCTATCCCCGATCCCTTCCCAGCCCAGGCAAGCCCACACTGCCCCAGTGTCTGTGTCCATTGATTATGCTAATACGCATGCATATAAGTCCTTTGGTCAGGTTGGAAGCCTGTTCCTACCCCTTCTCATCCTCCCCCCAGCCCCCTCCCTCACTACTCTCCTGCTCACCATGGAGTTCATGGCGAAGTGATTGTGCTGCGTCTGGAGGTCCAGAGCGTGCTGGTAGCTGACTCCAATCTCCGTATGGCTCTGGAGGAATAACTCCTTGTTGTGGCTTATCCAGTCGAACATCTAGAGGAGACAAGATCATACAGATTAATCAGAAGGGTCATGGGGCCAAGAGTGCAAAGCTTTCAGAACTACCAGAAGGAATAAAACCCTCCTTCTGGTTCTCAGTGAGGACGAGTCATCCCTTGCAGAACAGGGTGGTCCACAGCCTGGTTACGTAGGTTTTCTGGTTTCACTTTCAGCAGAAGGGCCCACCATTGGCCTCTGCATTTCTCTACAGAGCCTAACAGACAAAGAGTAAGTGAATCAGGAAGATGGGGTGAAAGCTATTTACTATCCCTAGTTACTTCCCCTTTGAAGAAACTTGTAGAAAGCCGCAAAAAGGCCCCATGCATGCTTTAGGGCAGCGGTTCTCAACCTGTGGGTCGCGACCCCTTTGGGGGTCGAATGACCCTTTCACAGGGGTCGTCTAAGACCATCGGAAAACACATATATAATTACATATTGTTTTTGTGATTAATCACTATGCTTTAATTATGTTCAATTTGTAGCAATGAAAATACATCCTGCATATCAGATATTTACATTATGATTCATAACAGTAGCAAAATTACAGTTATGAAGTAGCAATGAAAATAATTTTATGGTTGGGGGTCACCACAACATGAGGAACTGTATTAAAGGGTCGCAGCATTAGGAAGGTTGAGAACCACTGCTTTAGGGACAGGTGATGAGGGGGCAAGCTGGGAGCTGGGAGACTTGACCTATTCCCTACTGCCCCACTAGAGGGGAGAAAACCTATGGAAAGCAACAGGGCATACTAACATGTCATGTAGGCAGTGACCAACCACACACTGTGTTGAATTGACTCTGAACTGAACTTTCATGTAGCTCCATGGACTCACAAGTACAGGGTTTCTACTATCACCCATCAGGAACCAGAAGAAGATTTTAAGGGCACAGTGAGTTCCATTTGGAACAGCGGGCATCGAGCTATTTCCTTCCCCTAGCTCTGTACCCTGTTTTTCATTTAGGCTTCTCTCAGGCAGTCACATGCTTTAAAGGTCACTGAACAGAACCCAGCTCCAGAGAAGGGCCTGATCATTCTAAAGGGAATCCCTCCTCAGACACCAGATCTAAGCCAATCAGTGTACCATTTCCTGGTCAATGGGATTGTCTCAGAAATAGGAATGTTATCCAATTCAGTACAATAAAGCCTGAGGGGAAGTTTCTGGGAAAACAGCACCCTAGTTCTTTAGCTATAACCTCACTTCCTCTGATACTGTCACTGTGACCCTGAGCCTAAAATTACTACTCTTGAGTGTGAAGCCAATGGGCAGATAAAACGTGTAGCCAAAATAATGGCAGGAAACAGAGGCAGAGCCCTACTTTGTCCCTGGACTTCCTTAGTACCTCTAAGAAATCCCCTCTAAGATTCAAGCCTATTTAAGTTGGATTTTCTGAAATTCTCTGCCAGGATCAGTCAAATGACACAGCTAGGAGAGGTGTGACACCTTTGCAGAAGAGCTCTGCTCTACTTGGAACGGGCGCTGTGTGGTTTGTGATGGGCAAGGCTGCAGCTCAGCTGCAGAAGCTGAGCACAGGTGCAGGCTGGAGAAGCTGCAAAGGCCCTGCCAGCTTTCCTGGAAGCACAACCATAGCCTCATTATTTCCTTTCATTTTTTTATTTTATTTATTTGTATTTTATTTATTCTTATTTTTTAAGTAAATCTTTATTGTTGAAAGCATTACATATGTCCCCCTTTCCCCCCCATTGCCCTCTCCTACCCCCTCTACCCCCAAGGCCTTCACCACCTTGTTTGTGTCTATGATATTTATTTTTATTGTTGACGATATTACAGATGTCCCCCGTTTTCCTTTTGCCCCCTTCCACCCAACCCCTACCCTATCCCAGACCTTCCCCACACTACTGTCTGCATCCAGGGGTTATGCATATATGCATTTATGTTCTTTGGTTAATCTCTTCCCATCCCCTCCAACATCCTCCCCTCTGTGATCTGTCAGTTTGTTCCATGCATCCATACTTCTGGACCTATTTTGTCCATCTATTTATTTTGTTCCTAGATTCCATATATGAGGGAGATCATGTGATACTTATCTTTCTCTGACTGGCTTATTTCACTTAGCATAATGCTCTCCAGGTCCACCCATGCTGTTGCAAATGGTAAGAGTTTCTTCTTTTTACAGCTGCATAGTATTCCATTGTGTAAACGTACCACAGCTTTTTTATCCATTTATCTACTGATGAGCACTTGGGCTATTTCCAGATCCAGATCTTAGCTATTGTAAATTGTGCTGCTACAAATATGGGGGGGGGTGCATATATTCTTTCTGATTGGTGTTTCAGGAGTCTTAGGATATATTCCCAGAAGTCGGATCGCTGGGTCAAAAAGACAGTTTCACTTTTAATTGTTTGAGGAAACTCCATACTGTTTTCCACAGTGGCTGCTCCAGTTTGCATTACCTTTTACAGCAGTGCAAGAGGGTTCCCTTTTCTCCACATCCTCCTTTTAAATGGAAAGTGAATTTACTTTTTCAGTTACATTCAACCAACACTTAAGGGACACTAGCTGTGTGCTAGGTACTGTCCATGTCAACAAAAGGCAAAATGACTACAATGTGGTTCTTAAATTTTAGTGGCTTAAAGCAGACATGGACTCAGAAACATTGTTAGTACAACTTGGCATATGACTTGATTAAAATCACAACTCGGAAAATAAATCAAGATAAAGGTCAATACAGTCTATCAAAGGTAGCACCCACCCTTGTTGATGAACAGAGAAGGCTTCCCAGAGCAGGTGACACCTGAGTGAGCCTTCACTCAGGTAGGAATTAGCCAAGTGAAGATGAGTAGGATGGAAGCTCCAGGCAAAGGAGAGATCAAAGGGACAGAACTGGGGGGCAGCCCAGTGTGCCCAGGGATCTGAAACACCACATCTGTGCTTCTGGAACCTAATATGTGGAGATGATATGGCTGGGAAGGTGGATGGGATGCTGACCATGAAAAGCCCTGGACACAGGCTTCAAAAAAACCTGGACCATATTCTGTGGGCAGCAAGATTGTCAGTGGAGGGTTTTAAGTTGAACAGTAAGGTGTAATGTGAGTGTGTGATGTGGAATGGAGAGGGGAGATGGGGCAGAGTATAGTTGGGAGGCTGTTCCAGCAATCCTGGTGAGAGAGGGTGAGAACCTGGAGACCTGGATTAGGTTAGTGGCAGTGGAGTCAGAGAAGTGGGCCGACTTGAGGGCTCACTATTGTTTGGGGAGGGAGGGCAAGGAAGAGCTTAGGAGAACAGCCAGGTGTCTGGCCTGGTGCCCTGGGTCCTTAAAGAAAAGTTGCCACCACAGGTGCTACCTAAAGTGGAGGGTAAGAGGCTGGGGGTGAGGTGGGATGGAGAGGCAGTGGGTTCAGTGTTAGATGTGCTGGGTTTGAGAGGCTTTTGAGAATTTCACCTGGAGGTGCCCCATGAGCAATTAGATTTACGTGTCTGGAGGTCAGGAGAGAGACATTGAGGATGTGACAACTCACACTTAGGTATAAAAACATCAGCTCTGAAGGCAAAGGTGCATGAGTTGGAATAATTCTCCCTTTCAAATTCCTTGGATCACTTCTGGCTGTCCTATATAATAAAAGGGTAATATGCAAATCGACCTAATGGCGGAATGACTGATTGCTATGACACACACCAACCACCAGGGGCAGACGCTCAATGCAGGAGCTGCCCCCTGGTGGCCAGTGCACTCCCACAGGTGGCCAGTGCAGCTCAGCCACAAGCTGGGCTGACGGCTGGAGAATGCAGCGGCCTGCCTCCGCAGCAGCGCTAAGGACCCCTCGGGGGAGGTCTGACTGCTGGCCCATGGGGAGCGGGTCTAAGCCAGCAGTCAGACATCCCCTGAGGGTCCTGGACTGGGAGAGGGCACAAGCTAGGCCGAGGGAACCCCTCCCTCTCCAACCCCCACTCAGTGCACGAATGTCGTGCACTGGGCCTCTAATTTTAAAATAATTTCTCATCTGTTTTCCTTACTGACAAAAGAATCAATAGAGTAAATGAAAATCTGCCGTGCCTGAAGTCCTTGGAATTTGTGATGAAAAGACCTCACTCCACATACATTCTTGACTATCCCAGTGGCCGAACAGTGACCTTCCCTGAATTTTCTCTTAAATGCTATTTATATATGCAAATAAGCAGAGGAGTAATGTGCTAGCTCCAGATGATTAGCTGGCCCAGAGCCAGGTCTCTGCTGTACTGCAAACCAATGAGAGCTGGACACAGGCCAGTTAGAGTAGAAAGCAGTAAGAAATGTGAATTGAAAGGCATGCCAGAGCGGAGAGTACCAGAGGGACTGTGCACCTCTTTGAATGGGCTTCTCACAGAATGGGTCTGAGCCCATGCCATTCCACCCCATTCTGCATTCCGCATTTGAGCACACAAGCTGCTCTCCAGGGGCGGGGCATTCTGGGAAAGTTCAGCTGTGTTGAAGGCAGCGTTCCAAAGAGGTGACACACATCTAAGGCAGAGAGAAAAAGACCTGCTCTGGGGACTAGATGGTACCATGTGATATCAGGAATTAGGGTCTCTCTACCATGGCTGTTTGCTAAGGGACTATCTCAAGTCTGCTCTGGGCCTGAATCTGTTGTGTAATGGTATACAATCCTCACCCTTGCAAGCTTGGCTGTCTGCAAGGCTCATTTTTATTCCTATTACATTCAGTGGAACTGACTGCAGAGAGAGGATATGTATGCATGCATGTGTGTGTGTGTGTGTGTGTGTGTGTGTGCACGCGCACTCATGTGCACGTGTGCAGTCAAGTAGGATGAAGATGGCTGGTTCCAAGCCTGGCTCTCTCGCTAATTACCCATAAGACTATGGGCAAGTCTCTTCATTTCTGGACTTCTCATTTGCAAGGAATAAGTGGTTCTCAGAATGGAGGTAAGCATCCTGGTTGATAATCAGCTCAACTTAGAAACTATAGAACGTATTTTTTCCATTCACAATAAAAACAGTTTTATTGAGTCTCCTGGATCAGAACCCATATTCATC